TGGTTAGATTTCTAAGTTTCTGTGTAAAAATATGTGTTTATGCCTATTTTTAAAAATGTTTTTCTTCATATTCTATAAGGACTTAAAGTTCAACACATCAATACTTGATGGAAGACACCTGTTCTACATTATGCTGAAGATGTTTAATATTTAGACAAATAGTTAGGGTAAACCAAACTGCGTATGTTGCAGGATAATAATAAGCTTCTCTTATGGAGGATTAACAACCTAAGTTTGCAGATCAAAAATTGGAGAAAAGGAAAGGCTGCAAGGTCAGCCAACATTTTGGCCCTAGCCTTTCAAGGTCAGTGAAGACTGAGAACATAGGAGAACCTGTACTGTAACATCATGTAACTCAGTTGTGCCCCAAATTTTCTGATCAAGGAGATTATGGACGCACAGAGGAATGTGATCGATGATGTAGAGTGTGCCTAAGGAAAGTCACACGGAGAGAAAACTTTCTCTCAGGCTTTCACAGACAGCACATTGGTCAAGCAATGGCCATGACTCATCCACATGGTTGACACAAAGGATCAACAGAGTGCGGTACAGGGTTATAAGATAAATCCTGAGGGGACTTGACTGACCTTATCAGATACAAAAGTTACATTTCTTGTTATATAGGTCTGGCTTTATCTTGGTCTTTACCATTCAGCAGAAAAGTATAAAAATGAGGTATATAAAGTAAAGCCATATTAATATGCTGCACTGTAAAAGGCTCTAGTCAACAACTTTTGCAGATAACCCACTACTATTATTGTCTGCTGGACTGTGTTGGATTGTTTTGCCAAATGCAAGCACCTATAGTATTTAGAGGCCAATAGAATACCCACCTCTGACAGGACTAAACCAAAAAAGGGGGATACAGGGCTGGTGAGATGGCTCAGTGGTCTAAGGCACCTACTTAGAACAAGCTAAGCCAAGCAAAGCACAGGGAACGTGGTTCAATCCCCCAGCACCACATGCCAGCCAGCCCCGCCCCCTGGTGGGTTGAGCTAGCCACACACAAAATAAATAAATAAATAAATAAAATTTTAAAAAAAAGGGATACAAAGGAAGGACCATTTTGTATTTTGTATATACAGAATAGTTGGGATAGATATACAGCTCCTTTCACTTAATTCAATGAGAAGAAAAAGATGTACTAATAGTGTTTGGACAGGATATCATGCCTGCTTCTTGTACTATGGATAACCACTAAGAAGATAACAATATACAATGTGTTAATTATTGAAACTGTCCTATTATTCAGCTTTGAAAAAAATTAAAGTATAGAGGTTTTAAAGGTAGAAACTGCATCCTGTTTAGCAAACAAATTTGTCATTTAACATAGAACAGTACCTTTAGGGACAGCGTGACCGTTACTCAGCATACATTTTTTCTGGGAGCATTGTTTTCTTGAAACTTTTACTCTATTGATGATTTATCAATGGTACACAAAGCTCCTTATGGTCTTACAAGAAATCAGGGTCACAGAAAGTTAAGCAGAGTAATTTTTTACATTTAGTTAACTCATCACATTACTTTTACATTAATCCTTTACAGAAGCCTCTGAAGTAGCCAGCTGTTACCACGCATGTTCAGATTTGCAGGGTCAAGGTGCCCTGCCCATATAGTGAGTCTGGGCTCAAGGAGAAAGTTAAGTGTTGCCCACCCGCTGCCTCCTTCACTGAAGTTTCTCTCTTCACTCTCCCCTTAGGTTTCAAATCTCACTTCAGATCATTCCTGGGTCCCTGGGACCCATTTCTCTCTTCTTTCTCACATTGCTATATTCCACTGTCTGGACTCCAAATCTCAGAGAGGCTCTCTCTCTGCTGTTCACCATTCCACCATCTTCCTGGAAGTTTCTTTTATTCATTTTTAAGAGAAATGGTTGCATAAGATATCAGAAATCCCCCTTTTCTGGTATTTTAGATTAAATGGTAGACTCCAAAAATGTATTTCTACATCCAGATCTTCAGACCTTGTGAAATTGACCTTATTTGGAAAAAGGATATTTACACATATAATTAATAACCTTGAGATAAGGTGATCCTGGATTATTTAGGTAAGCCTAAATCCAGTGATAAGTGTCCTTATAAGAGTGGCACAGAAGAAAGACACAGGAAGAAAAGATGGAAGCAGAGATTGTAGTTACACTGTCATGATCCCAGGAACACCTGAAATCACCAGAAGCTGGAATAGACAAAAGAGATCTCCCTCAGAGCCTTTTGAAGGAGTGTGGTCTTGCTAATGCCCTAATTTTGGAATTATGGCTTCAGGATCTGTAAGAGAATGAATTTCTCTTGTTTAAGATACCAAGTTTGTGGTTATTTATTTCCCAGTCTCAGCAGATTAATAGGCCCAGGGGACTTAAAAACCAGAATGATCTTAGAAGTGTCTTTTGAAAGTATAAAAAGAGTAGATGAGAAGAATATATACAGTGTAATATTTGTTGAAACTGTACTTCTGATTTGATTTGAAACTGTCTCATTGCTATCTGTTTATCAATAAAACTTTGAAAAAAAAAAGAGTAGATGGGTCATGATTTCACTTTCAAATCTCGTGTCTGTACCCCAGGATCCAGTGTGCCTAATACACTGTCAGTGTCTATCAGTTGCTACACTGTCCTCTGGGGCATTCCAGCAACCCATTCTGTCATGACCAAAACACTGCCCAGCTACAGCTACTCCTTGAGGTCTACATTCTGAATTGATTTTGATTGAACTGTGCACTAGAATAATTTATATGTATACCACCTAGAAAACCTGAAAACCCTGGAAATTCTGAGTCAAGAAATTTGGGGAGTCGTCCAGAAGGCCTAAGATCTTTCTCAACCTAATATTTATTAGAATACTACCAGAGGTGAAACACTAAGATAAAATGTATTAACAATCCTGAATTCTAATCAAGCTACCGTGGTCACCTCTTCCTACAAAATGCCATGCCTTGGTTCTTGTGTCTTTTTCTCTTTTGCTCCTCAATCAAGTCTTCTGAAGCTCTAGATCAACTTTCCTACCTTAAGTCCTTGCTAGGCAGATATTTCTACACATCCCCTTCTGAAACTCCATATTTTTTTTCCTCTTTAAGTTACTAAACGTAATGCTCAAATAAAATGTGTCTAGCATATAAGCATTCAAGACTAAAGAAATCTTGTCTTTGTCTAACATTATATATCACACATCTTTATGTGCATACACACACACATACACACACACACACACACACACACACAAATTGCTAGACACTGGTTCAATGGAGAAATTATGGGAGAGTCTGGGATGAAGAAACTCTGTACAAGCTCAGTTGGGAAAAGATCGATATATAGCCATGTTCAATGAGGCACATCATTTCTACTGTTGTATTTTACATCAGGTTATATTTTACAAAGCAAATTAAGATTTCATTTAACATTAAAGAATTTTACTAGATTGCACAGAAATTGAGCTAATGGAAATTCTTAGCCTAGAAGTCATAGTCTTCTAGGGACTGTGAAGCCCTGATTTTGTATATATTTGCATATACACTAATGAAGTGTGATCACAACATACAGTAAATGTGAAAATTTCTTTATTACAAAAGAAGACAAATTGTTAGTATTCTTCCTTCAAAAAATACTTCCCTTGGCTTTGGAGTACACTTTTTTCATCATTCTTGCCATTTTCTGAAGAAATCAGGAGATCTTCTTTTATGTCTTTACAAGATGTGACCAAATAGTCAGTGAATGCTGAATTTCCCATCCAGCAGAAAAAGACAGATTTGTAAAACTAATGGTGTCTTTCTTCACCTTATTCACCAGATCTGGCATTTTTAGACTTCCAGCTCTTCATCAAAGTCAAAAATAACCAAAAGAGGTAAATGTTTTGAATTGATTCAGGATATTGAGACAGCCACAAGAGTGCAACTAAAGCACTCAAGAAAGAGGACTCCAGAACCACTTCAGAAAGTGGCAAGAATGTTGTGCTGTTTAAAAAAGAAGAAGGTTGCATCGTTAGAAGCAATGAGTTCTTTTGAAGGGAGCTAACTGTAATGTTCTTGGCAACTGGGCTTACAGGGTTGAACTGCTAAATACGTGGACCTCTGGCTGTGTTAGAAAAGAGCACATCCACAGTGCTGTGAAGTCATGGTAACCCATAACCGCAGCTGAGGCAGCCAAGGTCCTGCTACACCCCTCATTCCAGAGCAATAAAGCCGCCAGCCTTACACATAAGACAGTACTCTTACTTGGAAAATTTGCTGCTTTGAGAAGTCTTTGAACTGACTCCCAAATCCCTGCTCAGTTTCCATGCTTGCCTCATTATCTCCTTTGTTTGAAAACCAAATACATACAGGCCACATGGAGAAGTTCTTGGTCTCAGCCCCCAAGAAATCTCAAATTGTTGGGGGTTTTGACCTTCCTGGAGCCCTAATCTTTCATTTAAGCTGTTCACCAGCCACTCTTTAGATTGAGGTCAGGCATGGGGGCCAGGGAGATGGCTCAGTGGAATAAGCGCTTTCCTGGAAAGTGCAAGGGGCCAAATTCAATCCCCAGTTCTGTCAAAAAAAAAAAAAAAATGAACAGATTGAGGTCAGGCCAAGACTCTGACATAATGTAGTATACTGTAGTAAACAGTAATCTCTTACTGTAGTAAACAGATAAAATATTATAGATTTACTTAAAACTTCTTACTTTAATATGCAAAACAAACTACACAAAATGTTCATTTAATTCAGTTTACAAATACACAAAATAGAAGTTGGCTCACATTTATATTACATATGCATTAAGGCAAGGCACAATATAGGAAAAATATAAACGTTCTGATTTTGAGGGCCAGCCTGATAGCTCAACAGGCCTGCTATCTCAGACTAAAGCACCTGCTTAGGCAGAGAGCAGCAACTAGGGTTCAATCCCTAGCATGCCGTGCCAGCCCCACCCCTGGGGCATGCCGAGATGGCGAATTAGACTGGGCATAGTGGTGAGCACCTATAATCCCAGCATTTGGGAGGCTGAAAAACAGGAAGATCCCTACAAGTCTGATCTGTGTAGTGAGACCCTGCACACCCTGTACTAAATAATTAAAAAAAAAAAAAAAATCTAATTTTATCATGCCTTGTATGATGAAAAGTATAGTATATGCTTACACAGCAATGCTTTGGCATGCAAACGTGACTCTCCTCAAGGTTCTGGTTGAAAACCATGTTAGAAGAAAACCCAATCAAATTCATGAGTAGGGTCAATGTTGACCTTATGGGAAACATGGACTTCAGTTCTTGTCCAGTTCAGTTTACAACGAGAATCATGGAAAGAACACTGTGAACCAGAGTACCACGTGGATGTTTTCTAAAGAAACAATTCATTACTTCCATCAGATTCTCAACAGCAGTTTTAAGTTACTAACTAGGCTCTCTGTGTAGTAAGTATGATGATTGATGCTAAAATATGGACGTTTGTTCATACGGGTCAAAATGGTATGCATAGCCAAGAACCCCATTTACCACTGCTTCCAGATTTTATCTTGCAGGACAATACTGGTAATCTCCAAATTGTTTTTCTGGTGGTCACTACTCCCACTTAACAGGTTTTTAGTAGATATACTGGTCAATAGTATACATTAAATTTCCTATTTTCTGAACTTAGCAAATCTCTAATGACTCAGCAAGTAGTTTTGAAGTTAAATTTTATATACCTTCTGAAAGCATATTCTCAAAAAAAAATTAAAATATATTAAGTACAAACTCCCCAGGATAAATCTATTCATTGTGCATGGTATACATATAATGACAAAAAAAAAAAACAAAACATATTAAGTAATTTTAAAGTATTTATATTTGCCATTAGCAGTAATTTTCCTATAGAAAAAAAAAAAATACGGCACATAAAAAATGCCTACCCTTAAGGCAAATTAGTGTGCTAATGTTTATGTAAAACTAACCATGCCTTCTTCACTGTGACTGGTCTGTATCTTTCATATCTCTACATACCAAATGACTATATCAAACTCCTGTCCACAAGACATACTGCGTTGTGTTGAACAATGAGATTAATCCAAAGGGTATCTCTTTTTATCGTTTTTAAAAGTACTTAGGTACAAAGGTAGTAAGTCACAAGACTGTCATTTTTAAAAAGATTTTTAATTAATCATTTATCACAAACAATTAGTGTGTAATCAAAGCCAAATACAATCCTTGAGCATACCAACAAGGTAAGCAAATAAAGTTAATAGAATTAGCCTTTTAAAAATAAAACATTTTTAAATAACATAAACAGAATGAGATATTATCATTAACAACAGCAAATAGGAAGATCGGCTTCAATATAAAGATAAACAAAATTTCAAAAGAACTTACAATTTCTAGAAGGTAAGTTAAGTCATAAGAGGTTTCTCTATAAAAGCATAAAATAATCTACAAGTAACATGTCTCATTTCAATTCATGAAAAGCAGCATATTTACATTCAAATGCACTGGTAGTTCCCGCTCCCCACTTGCCTTAGTTGAGTGATTACATAATAGCTCCTTTAAATGTATTAGTTTTAAAAAGTTGTAACAACTCACTCGTTCTTTTATATTAATTGCTTTACATATTTCAAATGTCCTTGTCACTAACCAAATATGTACAATATTTTTAAAAACAAAAATAGCAATCTATACAGTTTGTGAAGGTCAAATCCTAACCATAGACGCCTCTCATCCAGTTCAATAACTACAAATTTTGTCAATGCCAGTAACTGCTGGGTACTGTATCAAGCCAAAAGAAGCCTAAATCCTATATCCAAAGTAGTTTTGTTCCCTTTCAAATGCTTTCAGAAACATTCACAATTCTGCTTTGCAACTGGCAACAGCTCCACGAGCAGTGTCTTAGGCCAGGAATCAGTCTTTTCCTACCCAAACACTACTGTAATTTAAGGATTTTACCTAGCATTAAATTTAACTGCCTAGGTCCCAAATACCTGGGTATGAAACATGCAAATCTGTCAAAAGAAATCAGACACCTTCTTTCTTTTCTTTTAATGTAACCCACTATATAATAGTGAACTAAATATGTTTGTTTCATGGAAACAACTTACATTTGCCAGTACAAGGCAAATGGTCTATGTACAGATACATGAGGACTGCCTAACTGACAGTGAGTGTTGCCGACCAGGCTCCAAACCACTGGAGCTAATATGGTGCTGTTCTCTGCTGAATGGACTTTCCCTTCAGGATGCGTCGGATCTGGAAGAGAAAGAAAGAAGACCTGTAAGATTGTTCGAATGATCGCTGGTTACTAGGAACTGAACCTAGAGCCTGGAACCTTCACACTGAGCTGCATCCCCAGCCCTTTTTCTTCTTTTTCTAAGTTTTAACACAGGTTCTTCCTAATTACTAAGCTGCCCAAGCAAGGCTTGAAATCAGTATCATCCTGCCTCACCCTGCCAGACTGGCAGGATGTCAGGCAAATGCCGTAGTGCCAAGTTTGTGCAGTTTATTTCTTTTTTTTTCTTTTTTTCATCTTCTAAAATATTTAATGATGTGATTTTTCCATATTATTTTTTTTTCCATGTGCAGTTTATTTCTGATGGTCAAAGTGACACATTTTCTTCTGAATTTCATTCCTTTCCAATATACAGTGGTGTGTCAGTTCACAAACTTAGTTTGTTCCCATGATATAAAATATGGCCACATTTGTGTACATGTTTATGCATGTTTGTCATTTGATAGTTTGTAAACAAAAACAAAATTTTGCCGGATGCTTCTGTAAACATGTGAAAAATATGCATATTTGTCAAGATTTAAATGACTCAAAAGTACAACTCCATTTAAAGTTAATTTCAAGGGCCAGCCAGATAGCTCTGCTTAGGCAGATGCAGAGACCAGGTTCAATCCCCGGCATACCACGAGAGCTCTGCCCACGGGGCACTCTTGAGACAGCGGTTGAGACTGTGCATGGTGGCACGTGCCTATAATCCCAGCTTTTGGGAGGCTGAAAACAGGAGGATCACTACAAGTCCGATCTGTGTAGTAAGATCCTGTAGTCCCTGTGCTAAAATACATTAAAAAAGAAAAAAAAAAAAAAAAAAAAATGGGGGCGAGCCAAATAGCTCAGCAGATTAAACCTCCTGCAAGCAGGCATAGGGGCTAGAGGCTTGATCCCTGGGCCAACCATGCCGGTCCCACCCCTGGGGTGCACTGCGACAAGGCAAATGAGACTGGGAGTGGTGGTGTGCACCTGCAATCCCAGCTCTTGGGAGGCTGTAAACAGATGGATCACTACGAGTCCAATCCAGTAGTGAGACCCTGAACACCCTATAGACCTTTCCCTAAAATAAAAAAAATAAAAATTTAAATAAAGTTAATTTCAGGTTTCCAATAATGATCCTTGAGTGAAAGACACTTCTAATAAAAATCATCTGATTTGGAAATCTCCAACATTTTGAAAAAAAAGGTCTATATTCCTTTCCTAATCATGTCACTCATAAGAACATTTATATAAGCAAGCAACAATGGCATACTGATTTTAGGGCCCAGTCTGACAATTTTATTCTCTTTATCTCAGCCTACAACAGACCAAAACCAATAATTTAGAAAAAGAAGACCAGGGTTAAGGATACAACTGATGGCTATTAAAATACACATCCAGTAAGTGCAGGCTGATGATAAAAGCAAGGGAAGAGTCTCTCCCACACCAACACCCACAGAGCAAAGACGGGAGAAATATAAAGATGTTTACTGAAGAGCGTAACGGGCCTCCCCACCTCCATCATCCTTGGGAGCCCTGTTTTATTGCTGCACGCCACAAACAGAAAAGCAGAAGCAAACAGTGCGCTTAGGACTCTGCCATCTATTAGTTAAAGAAGACTTCTGTCCTTGGAACCTATCAATTTTCTGACAATTTCCTACAAACAATTAAGTGGTAAACCATCAAAATTTAAGTTATAAAGAGCTTTACCAATAGGAACTGCTATAACATTATGGTCATAATGATAGCTAGGAATCAAACAAAAAGCTAAAACTGCATTCCATGTATTTTATTTGTTAATAATGTAATGACCAAAACTCACAGACATTCTGATTTCCTCCCACCCCAGAAAAAGATTTTCACCAAAAATATTTTAATTTCTTAAAGCTTAAATTCTTATTATGGAGAACGTTCACATGAAGCTATTCAATCCTCAGTGATAACACATAACTAAATTTGATTGGTAAAGCATAATTTTGCTAAAGATATAAAACACTTCTAACCAGACATGGTGGCACATGCCTGTAAATGAAGCACTCAGGAGGCTGAGGCAGGAGGATCGCCATGAGGCCAACCTGAGCTACATAACGAAACCCTATCTCAAAACACAACAACAAAAACCACTCCCAGGTTCCAAATTACATCCACAGCCTTTGTATTTCTTGTGCTGTACCACTTCGTACAGTACACAGAATTAATTTTAACAGCTGATGTTCACTCAACATTTACTATATACCTAGGAATTTTCTGCTATCTCTAGATATCAATTTGCCTGATACCTACAAGGTCTGAAGCCTCACAACTTAGAAACCAACATTCTCTTTTTTTTTTTTTTAACATTCTCTTTTCATGGTATCTGAAGGAACTTATTACCTTCTCTTTCACCACCACTCAAACCTTGAACTATCCTGATACAACTTTCATCTGAACCCCAAGTTTGCCCCACAAAGAGGAAAAAAAATAAAAAACCTGAATAAAGCCCTAAAGTTTTTACTCTTCCCTTGCAAACAAAGTAACTCCAAAATGCTACCATGGGCACTGTGAACCACACTGACAGTGCCCACCTGCAGAGGACCAGCTGGTCTTCACCCCATGGAGCTCCCACTCTGCCTCAGACCACAGTGCCTGAGCTCTCTCCTCTCCACGCTGGCACCCTCACCTGCTCTCCCACAGGGCCATCGGGAACCAAATGCACAGGCTGCTCATTCTCCAAGTTCCGGGTGCTTGGGTCTGCGCCCTTCCTCATCAACAGGCGGACGGCATCCAGCTGTGTAACCCGGTATTGCAGGCTGGCAGCAACATGGAGGGCAGTGTTTCCATTGTAAGCCTGAAGACAAAAAAATTAAATAATACATGGGGGGGGGGGGGGGGGACTTTCATAAAAGGAACCCAAGCTTGAAGAAGGTATAAAGGAGGCCATTCCAGTCTGGCCTTATTAAAACTTTCTAAAAGTACCTTTGCATTCACAAAAGACAGGCAACTGGGCAACTCCAGAAAAAGGCGGATGAGCTCCAGATTTGCTTCTTCAGCTGCCAAATGCAAGGCTGTGCGGCCACTTTTTCGATCCTTGGCAAATGCAAGAAAGGATACAAAATGACAATTCAGAGTCCATGGCTTAGCATACACTTTGCACCCTGTTCCTCCAATGTCAAAATCAGCTTTAACTTATTTGAATGATTCTTTCTCCATGATGCCCTCCTGCTGCCCACACTAAATGGAATCTCATTCCTCCTCAATTCCCTACTAATTTGCCTACTTGGCTTTTATCACAGGCTACTCTTATATACATGGTGGCCATAAAACATAAAGACATAAAAATTACACTCTCTTGCTGAATATGCTATCAGTAAGCCATCTCTTAGGACTGTTTTCAGCATTGGTGGCCACTGTGCAGAGCTGTAATAAACTATAAGCTCTCAGTCTATTAGAGCCATAGGGAACTCCCCAAAGGCCCAAATGGTTTCTGATGTAGGCACCCCCACACACAACATAGTGCTCTGGCGCACTGGATATACTCAGTAAGTCCCAAAATTAAAAAGAATAAAATATTCTCCAGTTTAAGTAACACAGTAAGTCCAAGTGTTACAGTGAAGAGGTTTCCTAACAACACCTTATGAAAATCAAAGCCAATTTTGAACATTTTCTTTTCCTTTCAAAGACTAATTTATTCACAGCTAAATCATCACTTAGGGTAATAATTTCTAAATTACAAGCAAATCAAGAAAGCATATTAAAGGTTCTTTTAAAATTTATACTTAGCTACTCATACACTGCTACTTATCTGTCCAATTAAAAAGAAAAAATATTTTATCTGTACTTAAGAGTAAGGTCTTTCACTATAACTCCTCCCACCTCTAACCTCTCCTGTGAATTTACCTTTGCTTCAACTGATGCGCCCATTTGAATCAGACACTTGATGGTGTCCACCAGACTTTTATTCTTCAGTAGAAGCTCCTGAACTTCAGGTGAATGAGGCTGTTGGTTTCTCTGCAGTTCGTGTACCACAGCATTGTGGGCCATTACTGCGCAGTGCAGGGGTGTCAAGCCTGGAGAACAGATAATGAGGGAATGGTCAGTCATCCCTTCAGTTCTTCTGCTCATTCTGCAAGAACAAATCTTGAGGACGATGGCCCCTCACTTTACCTATAAATGCTCCACAAAAACAGTGAAGCTTTCTGAATATGCCTTCTGTTAGGGTTCAGGGCAATTTTTACACGTGGAACATCACAATTTTAATTCCCTCCACCAATATCTCCCTTCCTTTTTAATATCCCACTTAATGCTCTAAGATCATATAGGCCTTATTTTCCACATGGTATTTATTCAATTAAACTACAGTTACTTGCCATCATAGTTAGTTGCCTCAAGATCCACAAGTTGATTGCTCCTCACTGCTCCCTTCTGAATCGCCTGTACAATGTTAAAACAGATTACCATCAGTTAAAGCCAAGGTACGCAGATACTTATCTCCTTGTATCCCAAAAAATAAATACAGCAACTCAAAACAGATTCTTACAACATGTATGGCAAGATATATGAAATAACCAAGCCCTGTGTCTTGGGACCTGGATATGGGAAGCCTGGTTCGCTGTCTCTTACCTGAAGCACCTGGGAGTGGCCCTTCTCAGCACAGACATGCAGGGGTGTCCGTCCCCAGTAGTCTGTGGTGTTCACTTGGGCCCCAAGGTTCACCAGATCCTGTACGATCAGATGCTGATTGGCAGCCACTGCCACCTGAAAGGCACTCTGTGGACATTCAAAGAAATAAGTCTTAAACACATAACATTACCAGGACAAAGAATATGAAACTAAACTCCCTAGAGAAAACAAATCCTATTAATAAGCAATCCAATACTATAAAACAAGGGAACTATAATAAGCATAGGGAGTGGCTTAATTATACATGGTCTTTGGTCAAATAACTACAAAGTTAACGTTAAGAACTTCAAGGTTGATGGTGGCAAAACATCAATATCTCAAAGTTAATATTAACTAAGTCTCAGCACCGACACACATGTGTACTACACTGGGCATCCTTCACTTCCTGTAGCTGCATCTGTGCCATTTCCGACTCACCTGCCCATTGTGCTCTTTAATATCCAGCATGTGAAGTGCATTCATCTTTCTTGCAAGAACATAGGAAAGCGCTCTTCTGCCTTGGGCAACAGCAATATGGAGAAACCTGGGGACAAGGAAAACAAAAGAGGTAAATTGCTTAGGTCCACAAAGTTTACCTTTAAAGAAGTTCTTCTGCAGCCCTATTTTTTTTTTTTTTTTTTTTTTTTTGCAGTGCCAGGGATTGAACTCAGGACCCTGTGCTTGCCAGGCAAGTACTTGTTCTACTGAGCTATCTCCCTGACCCCCTATTTTAATATATACTGGTGCACTCAAATGAAACTACAGAGCTAATATGTCTTTTCTGCTAGCCTGATAATATACCTGAACTGAAGGAGTTAGGCTAACAGAAATAAGAAGAGAAAGAAAAACGCTAAACACCATGCTGTTCACTTATTTTTTAATACTCTTAAAAATTCTACCAGGGAGGTATTATTTACACATAAAGAAAATAGAGGCATAGAGATTTCTGACAATTTGCTCAAGGTCATAAAAGCAGGAAAACAGATTAGGATTCAGTCTACAAATCAAACTACAGGCCAGAGAGGTACTTCAGTGGGATAAGCGCCTGCCTCACAGGAGCAAGGTCCTGAGTTCAATCCCTTGTACCAACAAAAACAAAAAACAAAAAATCAAATCACAGTTTAAGTTTAATCAGGATCTGTTTCTGCTCTAACAACACAATCTTCTGGGCTGGTGAGATGGTTCAGTGGTCTAAAGCTCCTACTTAGAACAAGCTTAGCAAAGCACAGGGACCTCAGTTCAATCCCCCAGCACCACATGCCAGCCAGCCCCGCCCCTTGGTGGGCTGAACTGGCCACACACACACACACATAAATAAAATTTACCCAAAAAAAAGACCCAATCTTCTAAAAATAACTTTTCAAAAACAGGTTTTTCTATAACTTAAAACAACTTTTTTTTTTAAACAAAAAATAAAAGACCTCTCCTTGAAATATTAACTAGCATTGAGTATCTATCTAAACCAGTGAGATTGTTCAGCTCAACACTAGGATATGACTTGGTAGATCCTAGAAGCTTCTGCACCCACTAGGCTCAACATGTGCATCTGACCACATTAGCACCACATAAATGGGTACTCACGTGTCACCATCTGCATCCTTTGAAAGAAACTGGTCTTGGGAAATATTTGCCAGCTTGCTTTCTTCTTGTTCTACTTGCCACTGAAAAAATGACTTTCCTAACTGAGTGGTGCTCACTGGATTTTGGATGACGTTCGGGAAAGGCAGTGCTGTATTTACAGAGGTGGAGCCCGTGCTGGGTCCCCCCATGGTCTCACAGGCACTGTCTGGCATCAAGCTGAAGTTCTGCAGGTGAGCATCGTGCTGTTGCTGCACAACGGAGGAGGAGTGAGCAGGAGCAGCAATGTTCTCCGATTCCCCATGACCACTGAGGAGAGATGTGAAACTCTGGTTTGGGCAGAACTGAGGTTCCTGACTAGCAAAGCGATTAGGCTCATAGTTGGGGGACTGGGAAGTTCTAAAATAAGGACTGTATTCCAGAGATGGGTTGTGCATGTACTGCTGCTGCTGCTGCTGCTCTATGCTCTGGCTCTGTGGAGAATACTGGTACGTGGAAGTGTGGTCCATCACTTGTGGAGAGCCGCTGAACTGGAACGCTTGATACTTGTGAGATGAAGAAAAGACCTGTGCTCCAGGGAAGTCTTGACACTGCTCTCGAGGGGAGCCCTGAGGCACCACAGAGCTCATCCAGCTAACCTGGACCGTATTCAGGGAAACTGAGCTACATTCATTCTTAATGTTTATAATATTCTGAAGCAGATCACCACTGCTGTCTGGTTTAGAATCACTGTGATGAACATCTTCCATGCTCTCGCCAGGTGTTGGTGTTTGAGGTGGTGTCTGGAAAGAAAGACAACGCAATCTGCATATTGACTTACTTCTTAAATTATTCCAGGGGCTGCAGGTGTACAGTCAGTGGTACAGTACATACATTACTGGTTCAACCCCAAGCGCCAAAATACAAATAAATTTTTAAATAATAAAATTACTCCAGAAATATCTGAAGGGTATTCAGAAGAAAACAGTGAGATACTTACCAAAAACTGGGTATGTAATGGGGCTGGTCTTTTGCAAGCTGGTCCATCAGACGGAAAATCAAATCCTTTCCTTTTCCCAGTATATGACACTGTGTTCTTCAGTTCTGTACCCAAGAAAGGGATATGAAATCTATAATCATTTTACTATACAAATTGTATCCATAATACTAAATTATTTTAAAGTGCCAATTAAATTTTGAATAGAAGTAACCCTTACCTGTGAACTGTTCAGGGTTCACACTTTGTGTCTATAAGAAAAAAATTTTCAATTTAGTGCACATAAAATGGTTTTCTTTTTACAGTACATCAATAAAGACTCCTATCACCCCTTCAGCACACCCAAAATCTCTGCTTTAGCTCTTCTACCCATATCTGTTTTCTATCCCAGTACCTTTTAGCACTCCCATTTTTACTTCCACTTCCATTCAACTAGGTCAAGATGAAATTTATAAGACCATTTCATCGTTCCCTTTCAAGTTAAAATGTTCCATATTCCATATTAATTGAACCCTGTTTATTTCCTTACCCCTAAATTGCTTTCCATTACTCCTTTATATATATATACAGATAGATAGATAGATTTCCCCCCCCCCGCCCCCCACACACCTTCCAGGTCCCTGGCACTGGGCTACTTGACAAGAACACAGCAAGCAGCACAACAGTCTCTCCTATGTACTTTGTCTTCTATGAAGAACTGCAAGAAACTTACTGGACCTGACAGGCTCATCTCCTCCCAAACCCAACTTGAAATTTAAAACAGAAACAAAATAGGTACCACCTTAAAATCATCCACAGTTTGGCCAGAAACCTTCTGTTTATGGCTTCGGATGTGCAGCAGGAGTTCTTTCACTGAGTTCTTCACACGAACACCTTGGAAGGGTCCTCTCTGTTGCCTGCCAACCCCCATATGGGGTTCAACTGTTCAAAAGAAAACAAAGCATATGCTCATTACACCTCTTCAGGACACAATTCATCACTCCCAAAGTACAACCACCTAAGGTTTAAAGAACCCAAGCAACAGGGTGCACAGCAGTGCCCCCTTATGCTCGCTCCTTAACAGACTGTCTTAGTATCTGGCTCTACTGGACTGTGGCTGCCTAACCGCTCTCCCCATCAGGCTTCCTCAAGAAATTAAAGCTCAAAGATTCCCCAAGTCAACAGATAAGCCCAAATGAACTCTCTGGATCTCTCATACTACCCACCCCATAAACACCAGATCAAAGATTTTGCCAGTCAGAATCTTAAATATTTATTAATTATTCATCTTATTTATAATTATTCTTCACTTTGAAAAAAAGGAGCAGGGTAAATGTGATACATTTTAAGCTTTGTAAACCAAAGGCTCTATGTTCACAAAGAAAATTTAAAGTCTATTAATCCCACTCATCTAAGTAAAAGCACAAAACTTCCTCCAACGATCTCAATGTACCAAAGCCTAACCATTAATAATATCTTACATTTATGTTCAGTATTTTTCAAGTAAACTGTGCCAAGAAAGCTTCTCAAAGTCACTGAGCTTAAACACATTTCCACATGCATACACAGGATTTTAAACACTCATCCACTGTTTTTAGAATTGCTTCTAAGGGCCTTCTAAATAAAAACGGAAATACATCTGCTTCGCATTTAAACTTAAGGTACCAAAATTTACTCCATAATACACTATTTCACTTCTGACTATGACCACGTCACAGCCTCCTGGGCTATGCTTGGACACAGAGATTCAAAAAACATTAAGCAATGAGTAATCTGGCCACTCTATCCAAAGTGGCAAAAATTCGGATGAGGCAAGAAACAGTGCATAATTTGAACATATATATCAGAAATACATGAGACGTGGTGGAATGAAATGATTAGTTGGTCTTAGATTTAAGTTTAGAGATTTGAACAGACACCAGTGCTCTGGAATGAGGGCAGTTAAAAATAAGACACAGGGAGGAAAAAACGCGGTTTCAGGAATTCCCCGAGTCTGTGTAGTGAACCAAGAACTAGCAAAATAGTTTCAGCCGGATGAAACTACTTCAGCCCCTAAAAGGCCTCAGAAAAAATCTTTAATTTACGTACACATACTTTCCATATGTGCTGCATTCTTAAAATAATGTAGTTATATTACTTTTTAGATAATTCTGAATTTAAAATGTTTAAAAATAACTTTTTAAACAAAAGAAAAAACAGAAGTGGTTAGCTGCGGGGAACATCGGACGAGACGATCTTCATGCCAACGAGACTCGCCAACACTTGAGATTATCTAGGCGAGAAGTCTACCCACGGCCGCATCCTGTTTCCGCCATAATTATGCAACTCGGTTCATTAAGAAAAGAAACGAACCAACTCACAACCGAAGAAAGAAACCATTAATCCTCTCTTTGCCAGAAACAGTGTAACCATGCGAAAGCACACAGTAAAACAAGACCGGTTAATTATGTGAGCACACCGGAAAAACTTTACAGCATCACAAACGAAAAGCAGCACTAGCGCTGTTTCTCGGCCCAGCTTCTTTTCCAACTTGCTAAGGGCGGTTTCTTTCTTAAAGTCCTTCTACTTAAATGTTTCATAAACGCTTCAGAAGAAATAAATCCAGCGGGGACCTGCCCCTTAGCTCAGTTCTTTACGTGGCTGCTTCGACCAAGCAGTCAGGCTCAGGTTGCTGTGGTTCGATCCCCACAACTCCAGCCAGCCAAACCTGCCCTGCAGGCATCCGGAGCCGCAGGAAGGGCGCTGCGCCCCGCGAGCTCGGGAAGGCCGGGCCGGCGCGGGGAGTCGGGAGCAGCGCGGAAAGGCGCTCCACCCCACTCGGCGGCGCGGCCCGGCTCGGGCTACCCTGGGGGGCTCGGGTACCTTGGGGGCGCTCGGCGCGGGCGCCGCCTCGGGGCCGGGACTCCACGGCCCCGCCGGAGGACGCGGAGGAGAAGTCGGAGGAGTCGGAGCCGGGCGAGCCCGGGGCGGCGGCGGCGGGCGGCGAAGCGCCGTAGAAGTAGGAGAGGTGGAGCGGGCTGGTCATGAGGCCGCAGTCGCCCGCCGCGTCCAGCAGCCCCGCTCCGCCGCGGCTGTCGTCCAGCAGCCGGTCCACAATCATGCTCCCGGGTCGGCGCCCTGCCCGGGCCTGCGTCGCCGGCTGCGGCTGCGGCTGCGGCTGCGGCGGGAACCGTGAGGACCGTGGGGACCGTGGGAGGCGAGGACAGCGCTGGGCAGCTAAGGTTCGGGCGCGCCCCGGGGCCGCCCGGCTATTTAGCGCGTGGCCGCGCCCCGAGCCGCCCCCACGTCCCGCCCGGCCATTGGCGGCGCCCGGCCGCCCTCGGCCCCGCCCCCGGACGCAGCCGGCTTCCCGTAAAATGTCCGGGATGAGGCAACGCGCCCGCGCCCCGCCCGCCCGCCGGGTCGTGTTCCAGCCTTCGCCTGGAAACCCCGGTGAGCCGAGCGCGCCCGGCCCCGCCCAGAACGCGCCGCGAGACCCGTCGCCCGAGAAGACGCTGGCTGTGGTCGTGCACGCGCGGGGGTGCGGAGGGGGGTGGGGTCCCCCCACCCCTGGGTACGCAGCTGTGCGAGCTCCCCTGCCCGACCCTGGCGTCACCTGCGCCCCAGCACCTTCTAGGAGGGAAAACTGAGCTTTTGCCTGCGTTCTTTTAGGAAAGGTGCTATGGGCCGGGGAGATGGCTCAGTAGAATAAAGCGCTTGCCTGGCAAGTGAGGGGTCCTGAGTTCAGTCCCTGGTACCCCAAAGAAAAGGAAAAGTGCCAAATTCAAAGAGATGATGAAGCATCTTTCTGTCCTCAAATTAGCATCTGAGCCTCAACGAATATGTATTCGGTGCAGCTCTGGGAAAAAAAGTTGAAAGCAATGTCCACACTTTTGAATCGTTCAATACAAAAATAAAACCATCTTGGTAAAATGATAAACATTCACATATGTAGGTAAACTTTTAAAATTCTGCATAGCTTTATATTGTATCTGGTAAACACATAAATGTTGGCGTTTCCAATCTTCAATACTCTTTCTCAATGAGTTTATACCACTATTTAACTAGAAAAAAAACAAGAAAAACTAGCTTTTAGGTCAAAAATATAAATGATTAAGTCTAGCCTTTCAAGTACATTATAACTGGTAGGAACGATAAGGTAGGTACACACATGCTGTATTAAGAGAAGCTGATTATGATTAAATAGTCCAAGGGATACAAAGTTCAGGGAGTGGCCTTAGAAGAGGTCTCACATGTCTGATACAGAAGAGAAATCAAGAGGAAAGTCTTTCTAAAGGAGATATTTGAGATGGGCCTTAAAGGATGGTGGAATTTCAGTCTGCAGCTTTATTGTTGAAGGAAACTGCTTGAGCAAAGAACCAAGTCAGATAAGAGATGATATTAATTGTAAAGGGTAGCCAGGGGCCTCCAGATGAAGCACCTCCAAGGGCCAGCTGGAGCCCTGGAATTTTACTTAATGAACACTGAGAAAACATGAGAGAATCTGAAGCCGGCAATATTAATCTGGGAGCAGTTTAGAGAAGATAGCTGAGAAGGGCTCTGGAAACTGTTTGAGAACTGCTGCAGTAACCCAGGAGAAAACTGACCTGACCTGAGGTAGAAACAATGGCAGAGGGGAAAGTAAATGAAAAGAGAGCAGCACTGGGCAGCAAAGGGCAGCACTGCTATCACAGAGTCCACAGGTTGTGCAGGGCTGGGGTGGGGAAGGAGTCTGCAGACAGGTGGCCACGCTGGAGGCCAGGACCAGGTGACCAGGGCGCTGGCTTCAGGTCAAAAGGAAATCAGCAGAAGGAGGTGTGAGTCCCATGACTTTATATGTGTTACTAAGCATTAACAGGTAGTAAGGAAAAAGATAGAAGAGCTCCACAGTATTTCCTCGATTCTCATAAACATCACCCTGAACCTTCTTGCTACTTCTCTCTCCATCCAATTTTTGGTAACATAAATAAATAGGGAATGACAAACATAAGGCACCATCTGCTAACTGCAATTCCTCAGAAACCAAAATTACTTTAAAATGCTCCAAATGAGATGTCAGTGTAAGACTTGTCTGTGTCAACCTGACTGACCTACAGGAGCCTCAGAGTGCTAGCAAACCATGGTTTTAGTGGTGAGCATGAGGGTGTTTGTGGAAGAGACTGGCATCTGAATCTAGACAGACCCCTCACCAACAAGGGAGGCTGGAAGGAAACAAAAAGGCAAGAGGCTCCCCCAGAGCTAAGTTACTGGTCTCCCCCCTCATCGGACATAAGCACTTCTGATTCCTAGGCTCCAAAGAGGCTTATGCCATCAGCTCTCCTGATTCTCAGATTTGGACTAAAATTCTACCACTGGCTATGTGAGTCCTTCAGTCTGCACACTGCAGATGATAGGACTTCCTGGCCCTTGTAATTGTGTGAGCCGGCCCTTCGTGAAACACATACAGAGGAACCAGTATTTGTTAATACTTTTGTTTAAATAGACTTTGCTTTAGTTAAATGTTGAAATATAAACTCCCTTTGGTCTGTCAGGTTGGGTGAGAGGACACTGCCATGGTTCTAATCAAGTACAATCGAACAGTCACTCTGGGGGAAGCCACCAGATTATGAGGACACTGTAGAGGCAAATCAACTGAGACTGATGGCCAGCACCAGTCTGCCAGCTTGGTAAATCAGCTACTATAAGAGCAGATCCTCTAGCCCCCCTATCTGGTCTTCAAATCATTCAGCCCTGGCCAACATCTGGACAGCTGCCCCATAAGAGACCTTAAATCACAATACTCAAAGCCACTTCCAGATTCCCAAAACATGAGAATTTGTCTTAAGTCACCATGGGTAAAGAAAGATTAAAATTATCTGATCCTAGAGCCTGATCTTTTGCTCTAAAAAGGAAGCTTAGTGCTGGTCCTGGTGGCTGGTGCCTATAACTCCAGCTACTGGAGACTGAGTGAATCAGGAGGAATGCATGCTTGGGCCCAGCCTAGGCAACTTAGCAAAACTATCTCAAAATTATTTAATTTGAAAAAAAGAAAAGGTGTCAGGGGGAGCTTAGGAGAATGTAGCTCAATACAAGGCCCTAGGATCAAACGCCAGGACCACACACACTATAAAAAGGGATATTAGAAGACTTGTTTCCTCAAGGATCAGATGCACTCTCCATCTCAAAACACTGGAAAAATAAATGAAGTATCAGAGAGTTCAGGAACTCAAAAAAAGGAGAAAATATTCCAGAATGACTAGAAGAAAGTGTTAAAAATAAATTAAAATATTATGGCAATGCTACCTTTCTCTTATCTTTCCCTAACATTATAGATGTTAATAATTTACTTTATTGTGTTTTACACAATAGAACACTTGGAATAGTTTTATGATCCCAGTTATGTTGTAACACTATTTTGAAACCAGTAACTCAGAGTTCTAAAGAAGGATGGAATTTTTTAATGTAACTGCAATAAAACCTAGGAGCTTATTTTGCTGAAAATCTTCTAGATTGAAAATCAACAAAAGAAATCTCAGCACTATCACTTTCCAATGACTTAGTAACTCACTAAGAAATATTCACCCAGACAGAGCAGCTCAAGCCTGTGTAACTCCAAAACTCTGGGGGGCTGAAGTGGGAAGATCAGAAGGTGTGCTCAAGTTGGGAAATTCAGCAACTTACTGAGACCTTAGTGAGACCCTGTCTGAAAATAAAAAATAAAAATGCAGCTCAATGCAATAGCCCTGAGTGCAATCCTCAACTTCACAAAAATAAACAAAATTAATTAAAGGTTTCACTGTAAACTGATCCTACTGTAGAATTACACTTTTGCCTTGTGGACCATACAGACTACGTTGACATATTTACCTGATATCAGCACCAGCTAATTATCAAATATCTTGTGTATGAATGCTTAACAGCAAACACAAATGGTGCTGACAGATTCAAAGTATACACTAATTTATTAAACTCTCATCATTTATCCTGGAACGATGCATTGGAATTTGTGAAGGAAATACAAAAGCAAGTCAGTAAAACTGCTAGCATCTCAAAACAATCAATAGCAGGCAACAAAATGCAGTAACAATCACTGCACTATTCAACCCCACCCATCTACAGAAATTTAAAAATTAAAATAAAACCCAGCGTAAATTAAGGAAGTCTTATATGAAGCATTTTTATTTTATTAAACCTTGACCCTTGATCTTTTTAATATTCTATATAACAAAATAAGAAATACAGATACAAGTCTGGACCTTGTCCTGAGGCATAATGATTGTCTTAAGGAAAAACATTTACCTATTAGATTTAAAACATGAGTTAGCCACTTGTTCTAATCAAGCACTAAGCTATGGGCTGAACAAACCACTGATTGTCATCCAACACCAATTCTATTTGAGTGGTAAAGTGGATACTCAGATGTTGGTATTTGTCAGATTTTTCTTAATGAATAAAATAAGCCTGAGGGCCAGCCAAATAGCTCAGTGGATTAAAGCACCTGCAAGCAGGTGCAGAGGCTGGGGATTTGATCCGTGGGCCTGCCATACCAACCGCAGCCCCAGGGTGCACTGAGATGGTGATTGAGACTGGGCATGGTGGTGCATGCCCGTAATCCCAGCACTTGGGAGGCTGAAAACAGGTGGATCTCTATGAGTCTGATCTAGTAGTGAGACCCTGAACACCCTGTAGACCCTTACCTAAAATAATAAATAAATAATAAAATAAGCCTCTTAGCTATTTATATTCATCTTTGGAGCTGAGTATGGTGGTGCATACATTAATCCCAGCATTTAGGAGATTGAGGCAGGAAAATTGCTACAAGTTGGAGGTCAGCCTGCACTACATAGTAAGTTCAAGGCTAGCCTGAATTACATAGTAAGAACCTATCCCCCAAAAAAATTTCATTGTAAATAATAAAATTCAAGTTTTCAAATTTAAAAAAATTAAATTTTGGAGACTTCTGTCAGATACCCTCAGCTTGATAGCTTTCCAATACTGGAAGACTGTTTTGTTTCATTCTTTTTTTTTGAGAGAGAGAGAGAGTCTTGCTGTACCCTCAACAAACTATATAGCCCAGGCTTGCCATAAACTTGCAGCAATTCTCCTGCCTCAGTCTCCTGAGTGCTAGGATTACAGGCATATACTACTACTCTCTGCTTTGAAGACTTTCTGAAGAACCCAGTGGTGATGTTATTCACAAATGTGATTGTTTGGTATTATATAATTAAACGTGGCATTTGTAAAATTTATAT